TTCGGTTTCGCGCACCGCGTATTTACTATGCAGGATTATCGCGTCTTGTGTTGACAAAGGTTGGCTTGGTACTCTCTCTCGCGAGGGTCGGGCGATCACTTAAATTTGGGAAACCACGGTAATTGTCGTCATCACGGCCCAATCAGCTGTTGCTTATTAGACATGACGACGACGGGAACCAATAAATTTCATACCGGTAACTGGGGGGTTCTCGGTGTCTCTCGATCCTTCGAGAACGCACCGAAAGAGATCTTCCGGCGCGTCCAGGAGAACAAGAGACAGAAAACTTCACGGTTGGGATTTGAATTCAGGGATCGCCCTCTCCTACTTCATTTCTAGCTGACAAATTCTAATTTTACCTTAGCAAGATAAGTCGTCCTTTATTTTTGGCGGTTCGTTCTCTAAAATCTTCTTTATTGTTTGTCCCATCATTATTGTTGCCGGATTATTATTTGCAAATTCTTCGATAACACTTTGTATTAATTCTAATTTTTTTTTCTTTCTTTCTATTGCAAAATTGTCTTGATTTTTTATTTGTACCGTGTCTTGTTCTTCTTCTTCATATTCTGTCTCGGATTCTTCCTTTTCTTCCTCCTCTCCTCTTTCTTCGTGCATATCTTCGTCCGCATCATTTTTATTAATATCTTCGCTATGCCTCAAAGCTTCTAATTGTAAGATCTACCTACAGTCTTCGTAACCAGTACTTTCACCAGTTATTGATTGTATCATCTCACTCACAGAAGAGTGAATAGAAATATTTAAAATATTTGGATTTGTTTCATCCTCGTCCTTGTTATCTCTTGGTAGAATTTTGCTCCAGCTATTATATATATTTATTGGAGTAATATCCATCCAGGATTTATTAACTAGATCTGTACAGTCTTTTGTATTGAATGATTTGTAGAACTCTTCAATTCCCTTTTCGTATTGCAAAATACGACGTAGAATTTGGTGTCGGTACAATGTTTTGAATTTTGCAATAACACTCTGGTCCGTTGTTTGAATGAGAGATGTAGTATTTGGAGGTAGGTACATAATTTCGAACATTTCTTCTGGTTCCATGTCTTTGCGACTGGAACAATTGTCAACAAGTAATATGACTTTTCCTACTACTCCATTTTCCAACTGATACTGCCTGACACTGGGCTTAAAGTGATTATGATACCAGTTTTTAAAAATTTCAGCATTCATCCACGCCTGTTTTTGCGATGTATATGTATAATACTGGTAGTTCATTTGAGTTTTTCAATGCTCGCTGACTTTTGTATTTATGAATAAGTATAGGAGGCAGTTTATGTGTTCTGTTAGCATTGGCGCACAATCCAATAGACATTCTATCTTTCCTGAGATTTTTTCCTTTCAATTTTCCTTCCTCAGAACTTTTAGAACACTAAACTTTTTGACGGAACTGCCTTCCATAACAGCCCCGTTTTGTCCATGTTATATATCGTGCACAAGTCAATGTTGTCTTCTTTCACTCGCTTCGTAAAGTTTTCTGTAAATTGTTGTGCACTTTCAGTATCGGCACTTGCCTGCTTGCCATGTGCCCGTGCCAGTCTAATTTCATAGTGATTCTTAAAGTTATGCAACCGGCCCCTGCTTCCGGCAAAGAATGTGAATCCGTGCTCCTGGAACAATTCGTTCGCCTTTTCTTGCAACAGCAAATCTGTTACCGGATTTCCCATTGCACGTTGTTCCAAGAACCGCGTATATAATCTATTTTCTAACAAGGGACATTACCCAATCGCCAATCGCCGATTTTGATGCG